TAAGCGCTGAGAAGCAAATGAATTATGCGGCGTATGCTAGTGACAAAAGTTTCACATCCAAAATAGAGGTAATTAATTTTGACGATGCATCCTTGTTTCTCAACGCAAATAAATGCAGAAAATAATGCGAAAATGGTAAATAGAGCAGGCATAAAATCATAGCTGCTTTCGACGGTAAGTGTTAACCAACCTGTAGTATTTCATCATCATGCTCATCTGCCCTTTCGGGAGGCTTGATAAGAGCATGAAATCGAAAATACCTAAGTATTCGTAGATAGTCTTCTTGAATTCTATCAGCAGGTTCCCCAACAAAACGAATTCTACGAGCCGATAGGTCATCTCTACCACCAAAGTAATCAAAGAGCTCGCCGAAAGGATGCTGGAATAGATTTGAAGAAGCAATAATTCGATTTATACTATTCAAGGTCTCATTTTACTGACGAAAAATCAATCCTATTAAGTAGTGATGGAATCCCAGGACTGAGAAGTTCTCTGATAGAAAAGTAAACATCTCGGGGAAATGAAAACAGGTAATGAGTGAATATTAAAATCAATATATAAATATATATATGAATAGGATGACCCATTCAGCCATCAGACACCAGGGAAAAATGACAAATAGTGACAATGTTAAAAAGAAACATTTTAGATGCTAAGATATTTATGAGTTAAAACTGTATATCAAATAGAAGCTTAGAAGAGACAAACAAAAATCATTGTAAAAAACATTTGAATTACTGTTGCAAAGTCGATCACAATTGTAAGGATCAAGTTATGATCTGGGAAAAGGTATCAAAAATGACATGTAAAACTAAGCTAACCGTTTCCAAATTAGCACTTTTACCATAATGCAGGCGAAGGAACAATGAATTGATAGTGAGATCTCGGCGAGCAGCATCTGTGACCCAATCATGAGTAAACTGGACATGAGCATGGCGCCCATCCGTTTTCACATCAACTCTAAGTGTAGTAATTTCATAATTCATCTGAAATAACAAGATACAACAAAATTTACATTGTTTAGGGGGAAACAATCAAGAAAAAAGGTTACCGAATCGTCTACTCTAGGCGTTACTGTACCATGGGCCTCTCCATTTCGATTTATTACACGAATAGATTCATTTGAAAACATTGAGAGCATTTGATCTGGTGTAGCAACAGTGGCTAGATCAATATCATGAGGCTCTTTATTGAGCAAAATATCTCTCACTGCTCCGCCGGCGGCACGAAGCTCGTATCCATATTTGTCAAAAATTCCGTGTAACTTAACCAGCTCCGGTCGGTATAACGATGGATAAGGTGATAAATCAATAAAATTCGACGTATTTTTCATATTCTGATTGAAAATTTTAGTATTCCATAAGGCAAATGGTCTAGCAAAAA